GGATGTGACCATCCAACCAATTCCTCACCCACCGGACAGTCCACCCATCAAATCCATACCTCTCCAGTTTAGAGAGAAGGATGTTGTGCGGGACCCTGTCAAAGGCCTTACAGAGGTCCAGATAGACGACATCTGTAGCCCTTCCCGTGTCCACTGATGGTAGTCACTCCATCAAATTTTAATTAAATCACATCTAGCACATATCAGGCCAGAAGAATTGCTTAGTTGTTAGGGCCCTGGAGCTTGAGATACAGGAGACAGGTTCAATCCCAGCTTTATCACAGACTTTTGGTAAATCAATTAATTTCTTTGTATCTCAGTTTTCCTGTAATGAAATGAGAGTAGTGGTGCTTCTTGATGCTGCAATAACAAGGGGTATATACGTACCTCAAACTTAATTTTATGCAGAATCTTCTCAATTTCCCAGCTTAACTGTTCATAAGATTGTGTAACTTTGTGTTAAGTCTTCCAGTTTTGTTGAGAGAAAACAGAGCTTTGCAACATGGTAGGTGGTTGGAGGTCACACTCTGCATTGCATATAGAACACTGGAATGTAAATTGTGTTCCCGGGTCAGAGTAGGATTTCATCTAGTCAGCAACTTGGGTCAACCAAGGCACATGTCAGATCCTTCAAAACAGATGTTCCAACCATTATACCGGACAGTTGTAGCATATTTTTCCCATATGAGAAGTTTCTTTTAGCGTGCAAGCCACTTTGAAGGTCAGCTTTTGCCTGAGTCAATTTTTCATATGCTCTAAGTATTTGTATTCTATTTAATGGAGCTGGATATTCTCACTAAATGTGCTGAAATCGACTTCTGTTGTTTTTTTAATTTTCTTAAGATCTTGGCTTCCGTTGTAGCTTTTGACATTGAATTCCACAATGTAATTATGGACCATGTAAAAGTATTTGCTTCTGTCATTATTACACATACTGCCATTCAATTTAATCACAAGTTTCTTTGTATTAGGAAGAAAGATAAATACGAGCAGCACCTGACTTTCTATCAGGTGCTTTCCCTGATAGAAAGTGTTAGGGAAAGCAGGAGGTCAGAGTTAGAGCTTGATGAGGACATACCTCTCCTGCTTAACACTGATCTTAAACTCATGGAAATCCTAGCCCTGCACCTAGAAATGGCTTGAAGATTATCAAGTGATGACATAACTGGGCTAAAACAAAAGAGAGTCTTAAGAATTCTCATGACCTTCTGGAAGAAAGAATGCTACTTAAGGAATCATTTAAAAATATCAGTTAATTGGTTGGCTTTCTCAAATTAATAAGGTGAACCCCACTGTAAGCTGAATCTGTGAAAATCTGAAAACTAATGCAGGACCAGCTATTCTGTTTTAAAACTAGTTTCAAGGCACAAGAAAAAATAAATAGGAAGACTTGAATCATTAAATATTTAAACTTAAAATAGTATGAAAGCTGTAAGGTGTAAGGCTTATTTTACTTGTCAATACAGGTTACTTAATGCAGTTAAGATTTACATTATAGTTAATTATAAAAGTCCTGCAGTTGATAAGCCTTTAGCTTTTAGCAAATTGAAACAATTTCAAGAAGAGTTGGTCAATGGAACAAATTCACCCATGGCAGCATACAGAATTCTCATTATTAACTGGAAAGATTCAAGGTGAGACTTCTTATTCCTTGTAGTACGAAAAGTAGTCTCGCATGTGAAAAAAGGTATGTGTGTGGGGCTCAGTCTAAGTAGTACCTGTATTATTTGTATTTATATAGTACAGCCAAATATTAATCATGTTTACCAAGATGTACACTGTAAAATTGGATTCATCTTCTAAACCTTATGTGTGTTTTTAAATAGATGCAGTATAGATTACCTATTCAGAACTCCTTCTTAACTGTGGTGTATGTTCTGTGTCAAGAAGTACAGCTTCACCTGTCTAGTTATCTTAGTGGTTTTCTTCCTGAAGACAAATAAAAGGTGTCCTGTGCTTGATTCCTCTGGTGTTTGTGTCCCATAGATGAGGTCAGAATCAGATCTGTAAAGAAGACATATGAGCAGAGAAGTATCTGTTTAATTTTATAGCTTCCCATTCTTCAAATCATGAGGTATATGGTAGCTTCTTTAGCGTAAACACGTTGAGTGCAAACATGTGCCTGCATAATATTTCTACTGAGTCATTCCCATTGATTCAAAGTCGAAACCTGGAGTGTAATGGTAACGCAGACATTTTCTTCTCAGAGTACGGTAGCTAGAGTATGGTTTTTCAATCTTTCAGACAATAACAATAGCTAGCAGTGGTAAAAGTCACTAAAATTGGTAGTCTGACTCAAAGAAACAGGAGTGTCTGGAGTACTGAGGGACTATGTAATTCCTATGTAATTTTTTTCCAGTATCAAGCTGGTTTACAAAGATAGAAATGGGCTTGCACTTTTTTTGTTTGCACATAGGGGAAAAAGATTTATTTCTAACTTTCTTTTCTCTTTTTAGCTTAAAAATACCACAACTATCAATAAGTTTTTCTCTGCCTTTATAGAGAGTACTCGTTGAAAGTCTATTCTAAAGCAGTTCTCCAAGACCTTAACTGAAGGTCTGAATATACAGCAAAAACATGTTCTAATGTTGTTTTGCTGTGTTGTAAGTAAATACTTTAAAGTTTTAAAAGTCTGAATGAAAATAGGAAATGTCTTTGCTATTTTCCTCTTACCCATCAATTTAACAAATAAAATTACATAGAAAACGCAAGCTTTCCAAATTGGATTGAGCAGGAATTGGGCTAGAAATAACACAGTCTTTAAGTTGTTAGTATATCATAGGAAAGAAAAAGAATGTATGTACCCTATTTTTTTCTTTTTAGGTCATCTTTTAAAGCTGTTGAGCTGAATTTTGCCCTGCTCCTTCCTTGCTGAATGTTCAGTGGCTTTAGATAATGATGAATGAGAATTTAGGACATTTTTGTGTATTTTCTTGTTAGTCTGAATTCAAGCTATTATGGAAGCTTTAATGAAAGAACATGTCTATAATTTTGTGTAACTACTGAATTCAGCTGGCAATGGTATATTTGAGAAAGCATGCAGGAGGGTTTGTCATGCAGAATCCAACAATACAGTACTTTGTCTTTCTTAACAAAACCCTTCTGTCTATATTTTGATCTTGCAGACAATGGCCTTCAGACACAAAAACACAAGACGAATTGAAGGCCTTGATAGCAATGTGTGGTAAGTAAAAGGAAAATATCTGCAAATTTCAGAAAATATCTTTGGCCGATACATTTTCTTTCCAGATTGATAATTATTGTTGATAAGAAGGTACACAGCCCTTGCTATCTCTGCTGAAATATATTTGGCACCTGTTTAGAAGCAATTAACTAAATTCTGTTAAAGGTGTGAATTAATTCTTACTCTTGAGCTTTAAACGTTAGGCTTGGGCTTCTCTTCATCTAGTAAATCACATAAGACAAGTATAACTCTTGGGCATGGTCGTATAGCTGACTTTCAAATTTAAATGTTAATTTTGTTGAGTAATGTATTTCAATTACACTTGATTTGTGTTTACCAAATGAGTCAGATTTCTTTTTAAAGCCATTATACTTGTCTTTATAATTTAGCTCATTATTTTTAATACACTTTTTTCTAGGTATTAAATTGGTCTCAAAGCAATATTGCCATCACTGGTAAATATGGGATTTTGTTAGTTGGTGAAAACACTATTTTGGGCTTACATTAGTTGTGTGTGTGTATATATATAGACAAGGTGTTTTGGTCATCCAGCCTCAAACTCATTTTTAGTAATTTGTATTAATTTTTGACAGAACTTAGATGCTTTGTGGGTTTTTTGATTTTGGTTTTTTTTTTTTTTTTGTAAATCTTTGTTAACATTTGGGTAGTGAGGAAAGGGTAAAATGCAAAGCTTACCTGTGAAGGGAGGGGAAAAAAAAAAGTTCAAGAATCCTAACGTTTGTATCTGGCAGGCTACTAGGAACAGTTAATGAACAGCCTGAAACAGTCTGTTGCCTAAAATCACAAAAAAAAAATTATAGCACTCTGAGGTGACTGGATAGTTTAAATGACACCTTCACTTGAGAGAATCTAGCCTTTAAATCATTTAACGTACTTGTTCTAATTAGGTCTACTTCATTTTGCAAAGAGGGTAGTGTTCCATTTCTGCCCATATCCAGAGTTACTGTGTGTCTGTGTGTGTACACATCTGAGCACAGTTCTGCTGGCAGAAAAGTTATTCTGTGGATGCAGAAAGTCAACCTTTTATTGGGTTCCCTCTGACTCCTGTGGTTACTTACCATTGTCCCAGCCCCCACCTCTCCATGTGAGCACTCTACTTAAACCAGTTTCCCCTGCTGTGAATTTGGCAAAGTGAAATGCTTTTTTTGTCTTTTAATCCTAATGAAGGAAAAGATAATTTTTTCTGGTATGTTAACTTTAAGATGTTTTTTCCCTTTAGGGTTGAATTTACAAAGGTGGCAGCAGATCCCTCAATTGTTAATCTTGGTCAAGGCCTTCCTGATATATCCCCTCCCAGTTATGTTAAAGAAGAGCTGGCAAAGGTAGCGGCAGTTGACAGACTGAACCAGTACACGCGAGGCTTTGTAAGTACTGTGGAACTTGAGGACCCAAGTTCAGTGGAGAACATGCCACAGGGAAAAAAATTGACTTCGCTTTAAATTAGTTTTATCTGTAGGCCGTACTGTTATGTCCCAAATTAAGTTGATCTAGTAGCCTTATCCGTTACTAATGAACATCCTCTGTGTAGGCTTCTTCAAGGCAGAATCCTTCAGCAAGAGCAAAATGGTAGAGCACATGTGGGATAGATTGTCTTTGAAGAGTCTTTTCACAGTTTAAAGAGTGTAAATGATACATTTACTTCCGATTTTGGTCAGTATAAACATGAATCTGATAGGATAATGGTAGAATGAGAAAGAAATACTTGGTATCAGTTGAGACTGCGCCTCTAGGATCAAGAAAAGATTCACCCATAACATGTAGTAGATTTCAGTGGAGATTAGGAAGTGATCAAAACAGTAAGTTTTTTCCCCTGGAAGATAGTCACTACCCATTCTGTAAGTTGGCTTGTAGCATTTATGTCTTGAGCTGGGTGTGAGTGTGTGGCATTTATCATTGTCCAAGGCAGGATATTCAAGTGGTCTATTACTGTTTTAGTATGACCACTTCCTTGTTTGGTTTGTCTTTCTTATATTTTGTGGTAAAGAAAAACCATGTTGCCCAACTGAGAATCATGTGTCAGGATTGCTACAAGACCCTAAGGAGTCTATCTAATACTTTTCTAGATGACCATGTTATGCAACAGTGATAGAAAAACACTGTATAGACTGGTAGGCCAGCAATTGCTTTGGTCGTTGTGGCATCGTTGTGTATATATTCCAACATAACTTTTTGCCTATTCTCTTGAGAATCTGCATGCATTAGAACTGATGGGGAGCGGCAGTGGCCAGCAGCTCCCTAAAGGAGAAGCTATCGCAGCCAGCAGGGCGGAGGCCTCACCAGCCGGGTCCCAGTCTCACAGTACCTGAGCAAGGCAGGCCCAGAGATGGTGGCTGAGGTCAGCCCAGATCGCCAGGAAAGCTTGTGGTGGTGAGGTGGGCCTGAGGTCAAGCCAGGAAGTCAATCTACAGGTCAGGCCCGGCAATGCTAACCATGGTTAGACATAACCCAGTGATCACTGGGCAGGTCCAAGGGTGACAAGGCAGGTCTAAGGTCAAGCCACAGAATCAGTCTACAGGTAGGGGCTGGGATCAACAGGGTCTATGGCCAGGTACAGTCATGACTGTAACTGAATTGCAGACCAGCAACTCTACTGCATAGTGCTTAAATGGAGTCCCTGGACCAGGAGCACAGCGCTGGGTAGAGGCCCAGGGTGAGCCTGGTCAGGGCCATTAAGGCCTATTAGGGCACTCAGGGCCCTGGCAAGAACAGAAAAAAGAAAAAAAACTAAATCCCCAGTGAATGTAGCCTCATTACCATCCTTCTTTGGGTCACTTTGTTTAATCACCTTTAGTTGTGTGTAGAGTCTCTGCAAGAAGAATATATATATATATGTATAACTTGAAAGTATAAAGCAATTGTTTAGTGGCAGACGCACACGAAAGATGGGTATAATTTAGTGAACTTCTGGGCTAAGCATTAGTATGTTCATCAGCCATGTTGTGGTTTAACCTCAGCTGGCAACTAAGCGCCACACAGCCGCTCGCTCGCTCCCCCTCCAGTGGGATGGGGGAGAGAATCCGAAGGGTTCAAGTGAGAAAACTCGTGGGTTGAGATAAAGACAGTTTAATAGGCAAAGCAAAAGCTGCGCACGCAAGCAAAGCAAAACAGTGAATTCATTCACTCCTTCCCATCGGCAGGCAGGTGTTCAGCCATCTCCAGGAGAGCAGGGCTCCATCACGCCTAACGGTGACTTGGGAAGACAAACGCCATCACTCCGAACGTTCCCCCCTTCCTTCTTCTTCCCCCAGCTTTATATACTGAGCATGATGTCACATGATATGGAATATCCCTTTGGCCAGTTTGAGTCGGCTGTCCTGGCTGTGCCCCCTCCCAGCTTCTTGTGCACCTCCAGCCTTCTCAGTCGGTAGAGCATGGGAAGCTGGAAAGTCCTTGACTAGTGTAAGCATTACCTAGCAACAACTAAAACATCGGTGTGTTATCAACATTGTTCTCACCCTAAATCCAAAACACAGCACTGTACCAGCTACTAGGAAGGAAATTAACTCTATCCCTGCCGAAACCAGGACAAGCCACAATAGGGTACCTGAAAAGTCATTGCTTACCAGGCAGACAAGGTTTTGGAGGAGCCTTGGCACAGGGGGAAAGGCTACAGAGAGAATGGGCTACAGTCTACCTTCCAGCAAATATTCACCGACTGATTCTCTAAAATGATTTGCAAATCAAACATAAATATAATTTTCCCAATGCATGCAATTATTCAGTATTTACTTCTTTGACTTTGTTCTTTATTTCCAAATAGTTTGATAATTCCCATGATAACTATGCATGTTTGCAGGTATATTGTACTGCAGGTAGTAATTAAAGAGGAATTTTTACCAATATTCCCATTTTCAGCCTTCGCACTTCCTCTACGAACTTCTGCACTTCCAAGATTTTTGAGCACAACTATTTGTGGTAGTAAATATGGGAGGGATGAGTATGAATGATGCACATCCATCTGATAATTGAGACGTTGTCTCGGCTCTCTGCAGTGCTTGGACCTCTCATTGACTGTAGGGCTATGGCCTGTAGAGTGACCTAACGTGACGGGTGGTGCAGCATTCCTGTGTAGCTGACACACTCATGGCAAGAAATGGCTGTCATCTGAATCAACAATGACTTGTAAGCCTTAATTTATGGTAATGTTCCTGTTTACAGAAGGGTTCATGATTTTATGCCTTGTGCGTAGAGGTACAGTGTTCAATATTTTAGAGAAGGATTTTTGTTATAGTTGCGTTTCCTCACGGAGCTGTTTTCTATTTCTACCAAGTATCCAAAAACAAAAAAGATTTTTCACAGCCGGAAACCTATAGGCTTCCTGAGTAAACAGAATTGTGCCTTCTTATTTTCATATTGTATATGATCTTTGTTGCATGCTTGTTTTCGTGTTCTTTGCACATTTTGAGAAGAGTACGTTAAGTGCCATGTCCCCATAGGGGACACAAATGGTGAATGGTGCTCTGAGATTTGGGATATGATTATATGAATCATCATTCTGATCACAAGTGCTGTTTATCAGCAGTATATAAACAGAATAAAAAGATTTCCCTTGCACCAAAAAATTTTTAGTTGAAAGGTAAGGAAAGAAACAGAAGGAGCTTCGGATGGAAATATGGGCAGGTGGGAAAGAGACTCTAAAGGGGGTAAGGATGAACTGGTGTCAGAGTATTCCCTTCTCTCCTCCTGTCTCTTGTCCTAGCGCTCCTATAGGCTACCTGGAGCTATCCTGAGATGTGATAATAAGATAGAAGTTAAAAATCATCAGATATACAGAAAGAATTTCCTGGTAGATATGAATAAATTGAAACCACTTTTCTTCCCTAACATGCAAAAACCTTAAACCACACTACCTGTTAACAGCCATTAACACTGAGGGCTCATCTCGTATTTTTCTATTTCGAAATGTATTATTTTGATATATGTGGAAAAAACCCCAAACACAGGCTTTGTACGTTGTCAGGAACACACAAATCAGTTGCATTTGTTTGCTTTAAACAGGGACATCCGTCGCTGGTGAAAGCCTTATCTCAAGTGTATGAGAGAGTTTGTGGAAGAAAGATTGATCCTCTCACAGATATCCTGGTGACCGTGGGAGCTTATGGATCTCTCTTTAGTACAATACAGGCATTAATTGAAGAGGGAGACGAAGTAAGTTTTTATTTGAAATACTCATGTATACTCACTGAAATGAGAATTTGCCTGGTTTTTATTTGTCCACTTTTAAATATAAGTTGATGTTGGGGCTTCTTTCTTCATTAATTTGATTTATTACAGTTGCACATCTGACTTTCAGAAGCTGTGATCAGGGACTATCCTTTGGATGTCTTCCTATCATTCACCAACTTACAACCCCCTTTCTTTCATACTTACAGTACCTGTAGCAGTTTCTTTATCACCATTACTGTTAGGTGACACAATACATGCTGATTTCTTACTTGAGAAAACTTGTGGGCTGTTGTCTGCAACAGAAGACTAAGGGTGGCGCAAAGTATTGTTGGTGTTTGAATAACCATTGTGGATAAAGTTCTGTTTTGGACTGTTGCATGGGAGCAGCATAGGTAGCAGAAAAGTCCTTTAAAGAAAGGATTGTTAGTTTGCTGTACCAGCTGTGATGATTCATCCCTTCACTACTGATGTCTGCCTTTTTGACAATATTAAAAGTCATTTGGGGGGGATATTTGTTTGTATCTGTAGTGGACAAGAACTGTTTGTGTTGTCATGCATTTTGCTTTCAGTGTTTTGTTCATTTCGTTTGTGTAATGTATTCTCATCTGTATCTTTTCTTCCTTTTCTGTTGCTTTGATATTCAATTCTCTTTTCTTGTAACAGTTCTCTGCAATTAGCCTTTGGGGGTTTTTTTTGTTTGTTTTCCTATTATCTAGCCTCTACGCAATTTTCCTTGAATTTGTCCTCTCTTTCTACATGAAAATTTTCTTCTGATAAAATTTGAGGACTTCAGACATTCTTCTGAGATTTCTAGATACTTGGAAATCCTGGAATTTTGTGGACAGAATTAGGGCAGCTGTGCCTAATTGTTCATCAGTTTGCTGTTGCTACCTCCCACCTTTGCCTTGCACCTTCAAATCTGTATGCAGGACCCAAACGTTCCTAATATTGTATCTTAATAGTTGTAATGTGTAACTAGAGAAGAACAGCCTCTGTGTGTCATCAAAAACGGGTAGTGCTTATCATACTTAGACTGAGGGCATTGTTATATGATGTTCTAAAAGGAGGAACATTCTGCTATGTTAGATCAGGATGGAGTGCCCGAAACATTATCAAGTTATACCACCAAAGTATATCTTGGAAGTATGATGGTTCATGCACGGTAAATTCCGTTTCTGATACTGGTGATTGTAATTTCAGGTAATAATAATAGAGCCATTTTATGACTGTTATGAACCAATGGTAAAGATGGCGGGTGCAAAGCCTGTTTTTATCCCACTGAGAAATGTGAGTAGCTTTTTAAAAATTATTTATCATATAAAGTTTCTCATCCATACTCAATATGGTTTGATGAACACCTTCTAGACGATGCTCTTCTGTATAGTTTTTCATAATATCCAATTGTATAAAAATGAGATAGATTGCTATAGTGTAAGTCTGAGGTGATGATAATCCAAAGCAAGTAGAATATTTTATTACTGTTGGAGAAGGTGGGACAATGTTTCTTATTTACTTTAATTTGTGCATTCTGAAACCTGATCAAAATTCCTTTTTTGGACATCATCAGAGAATGTTTTCAGTGGAAATGAGGGAAGGAGGATCACATATCAGTGCAATTTCTGTATCTGCTGGTTTTCGAAAGATTTGGTTTCTGATGCCTTCAGCAACTCCTACAATGACAGAATATAATTTCTTTTCCAAAATCTGCTTACTAAATGAGGAGCTATCATGCTGTAGGCATATTTGCTATACATACGAGAATTCCTGTTTCCTTTATTGATAAAAAGGAATAATTTTGGTATGGGTTAATTTTCAAATTGGTACTGCTGGCATTATGCTGGCAGCTTGCAAGGATTGTTCTGGATGCAAAGCGTTGATCCTGTTACCGTTGCCTTGGGTGACTGGCAGCCCTGCATGGGGAGGGCTGAGGGGCTCTTTAGGCCAGACTGTTGGATGAACACCATGAAATCAGAACAACACTGAGTGACAAAACCTCCAGGACAGCAGGGGAGTAGGTGAGACTGTTCCTCTGGGTGCCCTCCTTCTAGGGACGTTTTGAATGACAGGGTTCCTCCAAGTATTTTCTGTTTTACACCCTTGTTTTTGGTCTGGCCCTCTCCCAGGTGGGGAGAGGTAACTTGCACCTGGTAACTTGCAGGTGTCAGAAAGTTAGTGTGGCCATGCTCTTTGTTCTCTGTAGCAACTGGTCCAAACTTCTGTTGTCCTTGTGTAATACCACAGCAACTCCAGAGCCTCGGTGGTGCAAATTTTTAACTGTTTGGCCATTTTCCTATGGACAAGGAGGAGAAAATGACCTTGAATCTCTCCAGTGGTGATCAATCTTTCCAGCCAAGCATGCACACACTTGTTCTAGTGTCTGGGAAGGCCATAAACTCTCCTGTCATGTGACTGGGCTTCCTACGTTACACACTGTTATAATCGGCGTGTGTGTAACCAGATCCTGGAAACCAGTTCCTGGGGAGACTTTGAGAGGGACGGTGGCCAGGGAAGGACAGCCACTGTCATAGTAATTAACCTTGCTCTTAGAGCCTCCCTGCCTGTTTCTAGAAGTGCCTTCTCCCAGGAGAGCAGGACAGATTGGATAGGTTGTCAAGTATGGTTATGAAAGTGTCTGAGGATGATAAGTTGGGCATCTCTGTTTAGGCTGTAACATGTTTATTCAAATAATGCATAAATTTATTGGTGTGTTGTTTTTTGTTTTTTTTTTGTTTTTTTTTTTTTTTTAAGAAAAATGATGGAAACTCTGCATCTATGGCTGCTTGGGTTTCTAAATTTAATTCCAAAACAAAAGCAATTATACTGAATACCCCACACAACCCTATAGGCAAGGTAAGAATCCTGCTTTAACACTACTGTTATTTCAGAGTATACCTTAAATACTATGACTAATGCATTGTCCCTTACTCTCTTGTATCCCAGGTGTTCACCAGAGAAGAGCTCCAAGTAATAGCTGATCTCTGTATTAGACATGATACCCTGTGCATCAGCGATGAGGTGTATGAATGGCTGGTGTATAAAGGAAATAAACACATTAAAATAGGTACTGATTTTTTGTGGCATCTTAAAAGTGGTTGTGGAATGATGTTGTAAACGTGCCTCTCGGAGATAATGGTTGCTGGAAGGAGCTCAAACTTCAAGCTTTGACTATTTTACAATGTTTAGACTCTAAGGAGGAGAGCTCCTCCCTTTTCTGAAAAACATTTTGAAGAATAATTTCCAGATAGAATTTCCAAAAGCTCTTAAGTGACTTTGGAGTAGATATCCATAGAAAGCAGTGGGACTGATGCTCATAAATCAGTTGTGATCATCTGAATATCCCATCCTTATTCAGTTACTTTGTTGGCCATGACAGATATAACTGCTGTTCATGTATGTATATTGGACTGTGCTTTGCTGAAGAACTAATAGAAGGAACAGAGATTAAAACTTCCTTCTCAAAGCATTGTAGAGATAATCAATGAAGGAAATGCATAATGAGGAACACAATTATTTTTGCTCACTACTTATAAAAAGAAAAAAAAGTATAAAGGTTAGTGCGGAGATAGTGCATGAACACTGTTCCTCCAAAGTGCAGAGACAGTGTTAAATAATGGACATGGAATTCAATGAAGTAAGTCGCTGCAAGGGCAGTGTGAAAGTATGCTAAAGTCTTCAGGCAGTATTGCTGCAGGGGTAAAGCACCATTGCAAGAACAAACTAGAATGCCAAATATGATGTTACGTCTCTGTCCCTCTTGTTTTACTTCTTGATCCAAGTTTCACTGAAGTTAGTGGAATCATTTCCACTGTCTCAGAACAAGTGAATCTAGTGCAGGTTACTGAACTCCTTCCCCAATCCTATAATGCTACAGCTAAGCATCTATGTAAAAGTTTCTAGTGAGGAGGTCTTGGTTTGGATCTGCTGATGTATTTGAGCTGGCTAAAGCCAAAACTTCCTTCTTCTGTGTACAGATGTTCTGTTTCTGATGGTAGCACCTTGCATGAACTATCTGTTATAATGTACTTACTGTCATAATGAAGGCACATTTCAGTCGTGTGCAATAGAGACATCTAGTTGAGATTAAACAATGAAATCAAGAGACATAAATACAACTTCGACATGAAAAAGCTTAGCTTTTTTCCTGGTTTTACCACTGGTTGAATGCTGAATAACTTTGCTTCTATGCTTCAATTACATATAAGTAGAGTGGCAATAAAAGAAACTTTCCGTTAGTGGGGGCTACATCATTGTAAAAACTGAATCTTATAAATAATAAAAAGGAAATTGTATCTAAATGACCTTGCAATACATAATAGCTCAGCTACACAGTTGCTGATCACACAGCTGCAGTACGTCGATCATACTGGCCATGCATAGGCTATGAGTCTGTTTTGAAAGTGGGCTAATTTCATGGCTGTTGTGGTGCCTTGATAGTGATACCTTTTCGAAGACCTTCAGACATGGAAGAAGGGGAACATTTTGGGTACATTCATGTGATAGTAATCTGAGTCAGTGCATCCTAACAAGTTACCACAGTAACTGATCATGTGTGGCTTATCATGTCCCAATTGCCAATTAAAATGAGTTAAATTAAAGCTTTCTTCATGGGCTTAGCAGGTGGTTCATGCAAATAGCTGTCCTCAGAACCAAAATCTCTGTGGGTGGTGTAAGGTAATCCATTTTCCTTTGCAGCGGCAGCAGGTCTGAACACTGATGTTGTCAGTTACACTTTGTCTTAATGGACACGTGGTGAATTCTTAAGACACAGTAACTCTATTGTTCGTTAGTATCAGTATTGTTATTTTAATGCTTCAAACCAAAACACTTCCAGTCAAACAAAAGGCATTCTGTAGTTCAGCATAAAATGTAAAAATACCATGTAATGATAATGCAAGTTAAAGCCTGGACAGTTAGTCAGCTAGGTTTAGGTACATATTCTCTAACAGATCCCATGATATCATCTTTAGTGTTAAAATGATTATAAAACCTTCAGGGTAACACTGTAAACAATAACATTATTTCAGTAAAAGAAACAAGATCTGCTCTTTTTAACTTAAGTTTCTGAGATTTTTTTTTTAAGTCTACAAAAGATAATACAAGAAAAAACGAGTGTGTTATTTCACTATTTAAAAACTCTTGTGTTTCCATATTAACCTCTACATATTCCATCAAATGCAGTGATGCTTTTTTGGTGAGAGATGCAAAATGGATATTGCAGCAATTTACAGGGTCTGATGGTGGTTCCTTAATACAATTTAACAGGGGTTGCTAGCCACAGATCATAAAATTAGTACGATCTTTGTGCTGCTGTCACTGAAGCAGTTTTCTGTAGTGTAGAGCACTTCATCATGTTTCTCATCATTTTCTGACTTCCGTAAAACCATGGACCTCCTCTAAGTAATGATTAGGGTTGCACTGGCAGATTTAGAGATTGCATCTCATAACCGAGGATTCTGAACAAGCCTCTCAACGAGCTGAGCGCTATCCCAGGTAACAGGCTTATTATACGTGTTAGTTTGCACTTCGTTAGTTTTTAAATTGTAGTCAGACTTGGTTATGGTGTCACATAATGATGTTGCCATATGGCACGGAGGAATTTCCCTCTCTATTTAAAACTTGCTGCTTGTAAAAGCAACGGAGCTGCTTCTTCCCCTGTGCCCTTTTGCTGCTGCTATGTTTGAAATGCTGTTACATTCTGTCTCCAAGGTTGAATTCCTATGACTATGTGGCAAAACAGTCTCGCTAGAGGGCATTAGCTTTGAAATTCAATTCTTTTTGCAGTCTGTGAGAGCTTGCCTTTAGGAAGTGATCTATACTCTTGATCTAGCTAGCTAGAAGATGCATCTGTTCAAACTGCCTTTTTGTTTTCAAGGTCACAGAGCAGTTGAGTGAATATGGGTGGGCTAGTTGGGATATGAGTTTCTTTCCTGCTGTTTTGTTTCTCTTCTTGGCAAGTGTGCTCAAAAAAATACAATACATGTTTTCAAATAACTGCAGAGACTTGTACCGTGTCTAATGCAGATAACTGCTGCAAAAACTTCCTTATGAAATTCAGTGGTTTTATTTGGAAAATCTTTGTTCGTTGGTCTCCCTAGAGGAGGGGATTTAACAATTGCCAGGTTCACTGGTAGTGGTTCTAGTGTACAAGCGAGGTGGAGCCGGATGTTGTTGACCACTGCAATTGCAGTAGTGGTATGACCTTGTCTAACTTTGTGTCTCAGACTTAAGTGTGTCTTGATTTATCTGTTTCTGTTGAAAATGAATTAAGTTAAAGAGTCCAAACAGAGCTCCCCTGAAGCAGTGTGCAGAAAAAAAATGGCAAACTACAGGAAGAGACCTTTGCTCTGTCATCTCCTTGGAAAGGAAACAAAGGATTTTGGTCTCCTACCAGATGGAAATACAGAGACAGAGATAGGCCTCCATGTGTCCCTTAATCCTTGCAGACATCCTTAGCTAGCTGCTATTGTTAGTCAGTCCCAGGCCTGTTCAAATTATACAACAAAACATAATTTATTTACTCACTCTGCTAGTTTTCTGATTTTTACAGTGTTTGGTTCTGGGTTAGAAGTCTTAGTAATTCCCTTCTTTTTCTGATGTCTGAGACAGCCAGTGACACTGAACCGGGCAATTCTATTAAAATGGCTTGCAGTGCCTGAGTTAATGTTGTATATGGTGCTAGTATCAGGCATCAGAAACAATGCTGTCTTGAGATGAATGGGTAGCCACTTCTTAGAGCATATCTTTCTTATGAATAATTACACACTTTAGCTGAGGATAACTAACATGAAGTTTTCACAAACTGTGCCTCTCTCTTTCTGCCTCTTCTTTCTCCTTTCATTAATCCTTACCTTCTTTTCATGCCAAAAAGTATTGGGCCATATATCCTTTCTCATTTGTTAAAATCGCTATAACTTTAGAATATTCTCATTGCTTGCTTAATATGCTGCAATGTTATGTCAACATACAGCTCTGAGCTAGGGGCAGTACAGTTTTTCTAACCACATGGATCAGGTGAATGCACCTTTACCCAATTAATTTTATTTTATATACAGCTACATTGCCAGGTATGTGGGAAAGAACAATAACTATAGGAAGTGCTGGAAAAACATATAGTGTAACGGGCTGGAAGGTAAGAAGAATCAATATAAAAGAGTTCAGTTATATAAATAACAGAATGCATTTATTACACTAAAAAAGTCTCCGTTTTTATGACCTGTCTTTTGAAAGCTTCTGGCAAATCTCCGTGTCTCCAAAACATGAAGATAGCATTCAGTTGGAGCAATTACCTATCTTGAACACCCATGTTTTAATTCTCTTCTTGTCTCTCGATTAATAAGCTCTTGTGAGAAAAAAATACTAAAAAAAACCCCCACAGTATGATTTGTTCAAAACCAGTCAAGATGCTTGGAGAAAACATGGATATTATCGTATTTTAACTTTCTGGTTTTGTGGTGATATTTTCAGACTGTGATAATGGTATGTTTTGGAATGGCTTATATTTCTGTAAGATATTTAATGATGATATTTTGCTTGACTTTAAAATACATATCAGAAAGTAAACAAAAATATTTAACCATCTGGCAACTAAATTCTTTCTCCTTCATCACCTGTGCTCAAACTGAACCATGACATATAGTGAGCTTTTGTTTTATGCCCAAACCACCTTTGACACAGGAGCTTATGAGATGGAAAGATTCTAAAACAATTAGGAATAACATTCCTAATAAATGCTCAGTTTGATCTCTCACCCTTGTTAAATGAAGAGTTAAAAGTTTGCTCAGTACCCTATGAGAGAGAGGGATAAGTGAAACTATAACTGTTGTCTCAAATCTAGACTTTTTTTAATGGCATCATTCAGCGAACTTTGTGTAAACCAGCTCTTTTCTTAATTCTTTATCAAAAAAAATTCACTACCAATTCTTAACATAGAAAAACTCGAGACATTGGCTAATTTTAATTCTTTGTTAATTTTTAGTAACACCACTGCTGTAAGTATAACATATGCATGCTTTCTTCCCTTAGCTTGGTTGGTCTATCGGTCCCCAGAACCTGATTAAGCATTTGCAAGTTGTTCACCAAAATACACTGTATACTTGCCCAACTCCATTACAGGTAGGTACAGCTGGGGCAGAGGAGGTTATCTTCTGGTGTAGCAAAACTGTAGGCCTCACTGTAATAAAACAATAATCACAACAATGAATTTTTAGTTGTCAAAATATATATTCTGGAGTGCAAGATGAGGAGACAAATTTGATCAGCTCACCAGACATTTAAAAAAAAAAAAAAAAATCAGTCTCTTGCAGATTCTTTCTTCTTTTACCTACAAACTGCTGCTTCTTGCATAAAATGTGACAATCTTAGTGGTTTCCTAGGAAATATAAATAGAAGTTGTTGCAACAAGATCTTGTTTTACTGAGCATTATCTCCATCTACTAGTTTCTAGTATTCTATGATACATTATCATCAATAATTTAAACTTTGCTTCAATTCAGATTGTAAACCCCTGTGTCAAGGACTGTGGCTTCTGTATATGATTAGTGCCTAGCAAATGATTGGGTGCTTTGGGTATTGCCACAGCACAAAGTAACAAATAAATTACACACTTGGACGTAGCTTGTGTAATTTGTATATGCTGATTTGCCTAATAAGGGCCAGAATCGAAGAAAAATCCACGTGATTTCAGTAGGAAGTATGTTGAGTGTCTTTGAGTGTACTGAGTGTCCATGAGTACTTTGAACATTGATTATGTTTCCAGGAGGCTTTGGCACAAGCGTTTGGGATAGACTATAAACGCATGGATGACCCAGACTGCTATTTTTACTCACTGTCTCGAGAGCTGGAAAGCAAGCGTGATCGGATGGCTCAGCTACTTCAAGAAGCTGGACTAAAGCCTGTCATTCCAGATGGAGGATACTTTATGATTGTTGATGTTTCTACGTTAAGTTAGTATAAAGTTTATTAAACAGCATGGAAAGCAAATATTATAGTTAATCTGAAAATGCAACTTTCATTTTAAACTATATTCTCATTTCATGTTTGCATAACATTGTCAGAAGTACTAACTGGGACTGAAATTTTCCATTTGACCTTAGCCTGGGAGGTACATTTTATAAACTTCAGCAAAGCCCTTGTTTGTGGTCCTTACTACTGTCCGTGTTTTGCAAAGCTTTGGCAAGGTTTTAGGGAGGATATAGGAAGTGGATAAAAATTTCTATTTTCAAAAAGTCTGTGATTATGAAAAAGTTTGAGAGCCAAGCACCTGGCTTAATATCCTGAGTTCGTACCATTTGTACTTTCCTTTTTCTGTTTGTTTGTTTGCTTGTTTGTTCTTCTTAATCTGAAGTCATACCCTGAAGGCTCTTTGAGGCATTCTGATTTCTAAACGCTGTAAAATGCTACCAAAATTTACAAAACCTTTTGGAAATTCAGGTTATGGTAGCTTTGGAGGAAGAATTCCCACAGGGGATCGTTTTTGAGTTCCACATTTTTCACTAACTGGTCCTAATGGCACTTGTCATTCACACAGAAATGTTTAAACACAGCTGGACCTCGCAGTGCTACCATGTGTCAGAAAGTTTTAGATACCCCAGTTTCACTGATGAGAAAACTGCAGTTGCAGTGATTATTGCTGTCTGTGCTATAAATACACTCTTCAGTACCCTCCGCAGTCCTGATCCCTCAATAACCCATACTTGAGGACTTCCTGGAGTACTGCATGGCTTTCTTCCAAGCTACATGTCTGAATTTGCTTTGAATGGAAAGCAAGTGCTCAGGTCAGAATGGAAATGTTCAATCTGTTGGCCTATTTTAATTGTTACAGTCTAATTTTTTAATTATTTTTTAAAATAAAAGCATACATCTTTATTCTTAAGTATTAACTATAATAAAGTGCTGTTAATGAATGCCTTCCCAGTGGAGTCTAGGAAATCTTACAACATGTTTGTTTTAAATGTAATTTTTTTAGATGTGGATCTCTCTGATGTAGATGAGAAACAACCTTATGATTATAAATTTGTCAAATGGATGATAACATCTAAGGTAAGGTGTCTTACTGTCATAGTCTAGTTTTAGAAATGCTTTTCTATTGAAAGCAAAAGCAGTGCAACTGTACTTATTAAATAATGTAGTGGAGATACTCCATTCAAAATATTATTTGGTGTTTATGGTAACTGCTGATAACGATGTGGCTAAAATACTGCTAAATATGCTGAAAATGTACCCTGTAGGCTTGTGTTATGTCCCAGCACTTTTCCTTCAGCATGCTTAAATGCTAGTTGTACAGAAGTACCTTTGAAATGTTTTGCCTAGGAAAAGTAATTTGAATTTAGTTAAGCCTAGCTAGTGCATACAAACCCGAACCTTGTCTTTCCCTCACATGTTGGGAGGGAGAGTTCTAGAAATGGAATAGTAAAGTCATCGTGCTTAAAACAGATTTGTTTTATACATATATAAAATAAGCAAATAACATTTCTGTTTTATGTTTCAGAAGCTGTCAGCAATTCCTCTTTCAGCATTCTGTGGTCCTGAGACAAAAAGGCAGTTTGAAAAATATATACGTTTTTGCTTCATTAAGGTAAATTTGTGTCCTGGGGAGACTTAAGACTCCTAAAAATCAATGCACTACAGAAATCTGCAAGAGACTGTTACATTTTGCTCAGGATGTCCTGAGTCGGATGGTTTTAGGAACAGAAAGTTAGCTTGGTGTAAAATTCAGCACAAAGTAGCTTCAACTGTCTTTTTGCTGAGGGACTTTAAACCATAAATGTGGGTGGCATGGCTAAGAAGGGCAATTGGCAGGAAAAAACTGGGTGGGTAGGCCTTTTTTAGTTTGCTCTATTGATTTTTAAAAATATTCTTGACCAGTGGTGACAGTGAAAATGAATGACACAGGTACGCTATCAATTAAGGTGAATTCTATAATCCAGAGCAGAGAATAATTGTATAGCAGAGCGGTATACCCCAAGCCCATTCAGTTTCCCGCATCAAAAACAGTGAAGAGGTCACCTTCAAGTTTAGCTCACTTGCCTGAAAATACATAGGGTTTCACACGAGCTCCAAATTACAAAAGAAAACAAAGACACAGGAAGTTATCTTACATGGTTTTTGTGAATTGGCTGACGTTTGCCATTTTGTGAGCACCTCCTTTTCACATATTCTTCCTCCTGTTAAATCTGTTCTTGAAAAGACTTGAAAGACTTTGGGGACAGGTACATAAGCTTTGGTAAGCCCGCAGCCCTAAGATGCTTCCCGATTATTCTGTAACAGAGTCAGCACAATGGAACACGTGCAACTCCTTAACTGTTCCAGTATAAAGGTCGGAGCCTTAGCTTGAACCAGTAATGAAGGGGAGTTTCTGCTTGAGTTATTTAGTTCTTTTGATGAGATACAAAGACTATGATATAAACTGAGCCAGTAACAACCAGGATGAAACTTGCTGGTTGTAAATGTGGCTTGCCCGGGATGAACAGCACTAATCATGTCAAGTTAACGACTACTTGTACAACTCACCAGGTTGTAGCCAAGCCACGCAACTGGCCAGTGGATAGATTACCCATATTTAGAGGGATTATGTTTAAGTAGTTCATGCATAACTTTGTTGCATGGAGATTTAAAAATCCCAACTGTACACATGAAGATTAGGAAACTATGCTAGCATGTCTCCAATATAAAGCTGCCAAGTACATCACTGCATAAATGCCAGGCATTTATATAAGAAGTATTGCTTTCATTAAATTTGATAGTATGAATGCTTAGAAAATGTTATCTTTTAAATATACCTAATAAATACTTGCAAGGAATCAGCATTGAATTCTTTGTGTAGTCTAGATTTGTAGCTATAACTGTTAATGAAAAACTGACTGACAGATATTAACAGGATGCAACTGAAGCTGCCAAATATTGATGTGGGATGATATAATTGTGACTGCTGCTCTCTTTTCAAGAACTTCGTACTTGCAGTAACAGTGATATTCCTTGTTTTGCAGAAAGACAGCACACTAGATGCAGCTGAAGTGATCCTGAAGAACTGGAATAAACAGACAGCCTGATTTTTCTTATTAACTCTTCCATCTGGTATAATTACCTAATAGTAGGGTTTTCTTATTGCAAATTTAAGAACAAATGACTTAATACAGTACAGAATTAATATGACATTGTAAATAACTTTGTGCTGCCACCTGCTGAGGAGTTAAAACAATGATTAACTGAAAAATGTGTAATGCAACTCAGAGGTTATTTTCAGTCTTTTCAAAATCATTTACTTTTTTCCCCAAAAAAATCTATGGGATTCATTACTTCTACTGAAAGACAAAAATTTGTAGGACTGTTGTGTAAAATAAATAGATGATACAGGTATTTTAAAGCTTAGAAGAAAAAAGTGGGAGGTGTTTTTGGTATGCGATAGTATAGGACCTAGGGGTGAGACTTAAATATAGTGGATTGTGAAACCCAATAGCCTGCAGTGAAGGAAAATTAAGATATACCTCCTATTTAAATAATTGCAGTGACTTTCATACGTACATACCTACCTACACTGTCCATGCACAAATTGCATCAGCTTAAATAAAATGATTGAGTTAAATCAATACAGCGTTTATACTATAAGCAAGATTGACAAGTGCGAAGTTGCATAATTACTATTTTATTTTTCCACAATAGTCATGTGTGCTGTTCTGGAAGTATTCAGTCCTCAATAAAATTATAAAACTGGCATCTAGAATAGGAATTCTGTTCACTCGTGTCTACCTATTTATTTATTTGTTACATGGATGAATCTACAAAGCAAAATAGAAGACTTTGCTTTAGAGGCTCCTTCACAATCAGATGTACAGTGGCATCATTGATCCTGTCATCCTTTTTCTTACGATGTTCACGACATTGGTAACTTCACACCAAACTTATTTCAAACTCTTTAGATCCAGGGGGAGCATGGAGTTGAGCCTAATACTGTGCTATGGAGCTCAACCAACTTTGTTCCAAGCTCAGTTGATAAAGGACTGTTTCAAAAGAGATCAATATGAAGAATTCTTTTCTAGTTGCCTCCTATTTCAGTTCTCTCTGCGATCTTTTCATCTGTGGATGGGTTTCCCACTCGCAGAAGCAATCCAGGTGGGTAACCTTTTAAGGCTGTGTGTTATGTTCTCCATGTTGTTTCTATATTCTTCCCACCGGCCTTATGGTGGAAAGCCTGAACAAATTCAATAACTGGTTTTGCAAATATTTCACTTGTTCTGCGATCACACAGCTGGAATCTTAACTGAATTCCATCAGACTGTGACCATGGCCAGGGCCTAAAAAAAAGTATAGAAACTGGACTGTGAGAACAGCTGCTAGGCCTTTTCATTAGTGCTTCTTGGTCTTGGGCTTTTGGGAGTCCAGTAGCTGGGTCTTCTGTAGTCTTTGTAGCTGTCTTGCACTGCCATTCCCCAACTCTCACCAGAAGATGGTTGGCTGGTATTTTTAAGGTGGTGTGTAGTCTTTGTGTAGAAAAATAAATTTAGTAATTAGAATGACTTAACTGAAATTTCAGCAGGCATTTCACGTGGAAATCCCTACATTAAATTCCAGGAGGAACTATTCTTTTAAGATACTGAATTTCTGTGAAATCTACACTCTATTTTACAAGCAGTTTAAAATCTGTTTATGTAAGTTGCGCTGGGGAGCTGTGCTGTTGCAGGAACTAAGGGGGCAGTTCAACAGTCTGTTGAGCTGCATGGTAATTTGGGAAAGGAAAATGTAAAATAGTCTGCCGCTTTAATTGAAAAGTAATTTTTTTATAAAATTAAGCAAATTTTTCTAGCATAAATACATGGTAAAAACATAGGCTCCTATGAAATGTTTGATTATGTGAATCAATTTTCTAATTTCTTAAGCCTCTGAAATGATACAAAATAATAAAATATTTGAATTTTGGTTTCTTGTCCTTTAAACAGGTGCTTCTCAATGCAATTAAACCTTACGCAAGTAATATTATTTTCATCATTGTTACATATAAAAACTTTTAAAGATCATTGCATCATGCTTCTCTTGAAGGTAACAGCTACGCAGCACAATTCTCTAAGTATTCTTTTAAAACCCTGTTTCTACTCTAAGATTTCCCTGAGATAGCTCTGGGTGGTTAGCATGTGAGCACATACACAATTGGGTTATGTGGCCTCACAACAGTAGTAAGGTATTAAGGGTTCTTCCATTCACCTCTCTTTACAATGTTTTCGTGCTCTTTTTTTTAAAAAAAAAAAAAAAAAAAAAAGCAGCTCACTGCTTCCAAAAGACTTGCTGTAACACTTATATTACTCTCACTGGCAAATGGGACACCCCATGTAAAATCAGTCTAGAATATGCATGAAAGAAAAATGATATGCAGGGCTGAAGAGGAAATTAAGAAAACTATAGCAAACTAATTTATCCATTGTTATGTTTGACTGTTTCAAATATCTCATTAGTATGCTAATAACTCACCTGCTAAAGCAGCGAATTTGAGTTGGGACACACAGGTGGCCAATGCTTAAAGATAGCTCTGCATTGTGTACAGGTGCAGAGCCTTACTCGTGTGCTGGTTTTGGCTGGGGTGGAGTTAATTTTCCTCACAGCAGCTAGTGTGGGGCTGTGGTTTGGATTTGTGCTGAGAACAGTGTTGATAACACAGGGACGTTTTGCTGAGCAGTGCTGACACAGAGTCAAGGCCTTTTCTGCCTCTCACCCCACCCCACCAGCGAGCAGGCTGGGGGGGCATAAGGAGTTGGGAGGGGACACGGCCGGGACAGCTGACCCCAACTGACCCAAGGGATACCCCACACCATATGGCGTCATGCTCAGCATAGAAAGCTGGGGGGGAAGGTTGAAGGGGGAGGGGGGCGCTGCCCTGGACTGGCTGGGCATCGGTCGGTTGTTGGTGAGCAATTGTTTTCATTTGCGTCACTTGTCTTTCTTGGGTTTTATTTTCCTCTCTCTTTGATATTTTTTCCCCTCTTTTCCTTACAATTTTTAAAAATTATTATTTCTTTTTAATTATTAAACTGTTTTTATCTCAACCCACGAGTTGCTTTCTCACTTTTACCCTTCCCATTCTTCCCCCATCCCACCAGGGGGTAGGGAGTGAGCGAGCGGCTGTGTGGTGCTCAGTTGCTGGCTGGGGTTAAACCACGACCCTCATGTTATAGGTCCCATTGTATTAGACTTGAGTAGTTTAAATTCCTTTTTTCCTATTTTGTCCAGGTGCTGTAATGTGGTAATCTTTTTGTTTCATCAAATGTCTGAACACATAAGATGCAGCACAGAGATGAATTAAAATACCAAGCATAATTCCGCTGCTCTGCCTATTCATTGTTTCCTTCTTTTGCTCCTTTGAGGCATGTGACTGACATCTGCTATTTTAACAAAATGACCGTTGGCTAAACCACCAAACCATTACAAAGGACCTTTAAGACATGCAAGTATGAACCAGTGACTTGTTTTCATTAATGTACTCTTCATTGTGTTTGCAAAGGCATCTGAATATCCCATTGCGTTATTACTGAAATAATGCTGGCAATACTAGCAGTGTAAGAATTGCAATTTAATTACACATTTTTATTACTGACCGTAGCTAGCATGAGATACTTTGGGTGAAATTTTAAGAAACTCCAGAACGACCAATTAAGTAAGTTGTAAAATAGGATTGTTGTTGTAGCTACAGTGATGGGAAAGAAACAGATACAGCTGGGGACAGCAAGGTGAACTTTCTGTAAGTTATTAAAATGATCTGTTGTTGACAGAGACTGTTAATAGTGGTATTCCCATCCGCCACATCAACCACTTTTTTTCTGCTGCTTGGGGACAAAGCGCTTGAAAAATTGCTGCAGACAGGGGATAAAGAAATGCTGAGATACGATCTATCATATTTTTTGCAACATTTCTGAAAATGATTGTCATTCTGTGGTGGAAATTAAACTCTTTCAAGTCTAGATAATGAGAATAGGGTCAGGAGGGACCCGCTGTTGACAGTGATTGCCAGCAGAAGATCTTTTTCATGGAACGGATTACATGAGAAGCCAGGACAAACCTGGAAAGCTTGATGGGACTGACAGTGCTGATGGGGCACATCTGTTGCAGACACTGCTACATACACATTTCAGAGGTTATGGGGGAACTTAGTATCGCATGCTGTGTTCACACTGACAGTTACAGTGATTTTTTTTTTTTTTAAATTACTATTTCATCTTTTGGGTTTATTGAGCATTTGTGAAAAAGGTCATTGCAAATGGAAAAAGAGAAGCTTTAAATGTTTATCTTTAGCATCTGTATCTTCTAATAGTTCAGCTTCCTTTTATTCCAAAAGGTATATATATTTTTTTTAGACCTGGGGAATGTGTTGGCAAGTTCAAACTAGCTCGTTTTCAACCAGCACACAGCGTTTCAGTCAGCAGAAAAGTGTTTATAAGGTGTGTGATAATGAATTTGACTCAATATTAGCAAGTATTAAGAGAACTTTTCAACCCCGCTGAATTTCCTTCTTTGAGCTAGCAAATTGAAAAATATTCTTGTTATACAGTGGAGACGTGGTCTTGAGTGGTGTGAACAGTCATTTGTATCTGATTAATAGATAGCCAATTTACATCTGTTCAGAGGCTTCAATACTGATCACTTTAAAGCACTGAAGCAGTGGCACTTGCCAAAATCTGTAGACCCTCCTGTCCTATTCATCCCTCTCTTTATCAGTGAGGAGAGGCTCATGCCAAAGATAGTTTTTTGTCCACTGTTTAAAGCTTGGGCTTGAAAACCTGTTGTTGCTGCTCAATATACAGACTAATTTTGCATATGGATAATCTCTTTTGGGGAATTAGTCCGGACTGGAGTCCCGTGCTGGAGGGCTTTGGTTTTGCAACGGTTTTTGTGGGTTTCTTCTTCTCCGTGGCCTGATGTTTGCTGCCAAGGTGGGTGCGAGGGCGAGAGGCAGGAGGGAGCGGATCAGGCCATGCAGGAGTGTGCAGGGTAACATGGGAAACCCACACAAACCAGCAGGCGTGCGCACACGTGTGTGTGTGTGTGTGTCTCCAGGCTGAGCCTCTGCATGGCCCGTTTGCCAAGGGCTTCCGTGAGTCGCAGCGGGGCTGCCCGACACCTGCGGGGCCTGCAGGAGGGCCAGGTTTTTCTCATGGTCGAATCATCCGCGTGGCAAACCGCAACAGCTGTAGCAGATGATGCCAGTAAGGGGGAACTAAACTTTTCTTGTCTTTTCTTCCCCTTTCTGGGAACTGGTCTCTGCTTGGTCTCAGTTCCAGAGCCAAGAACACGTTGTGCCCCAGACGCTTCCGTGCAGCCTCCAGCAGTTTTGCTTAAACTCGTTTTCTGCGGTGTTCCACCGAACTGCTGGGGTACGCGCAGCAACAGCCGAAGGGGAGGCACGTCCCACGGGCAGCTCCGCTTTGGGGCGGCAGTGGCAGCATGGTGACGAGCAGGCTGGCAGGGGGACGCTCCCGCAGCGAGGCCCGTCGGCAGGACGCGGCGGCGCTCCCCGGCCTCCCGCCTGGGCCTCGGGTCGCGGCTTTGGGAAGGGGCCACG